GTGTGTGTGTGTGTGTGTGTGTGTGTGTGTGTGTGTGTGTGTGTGTGTGTGTGTGTGTGTGTGTGTGTGTGTGTGTGTGTTTGTTTAGACTCAGACGGGACCAAAGGCAGTTAGTTCAGGCAATACTATCAAGTGGTTGTTGATATCATGTGATCATCAGCCTGCACTTGTTGCTGTGAAAGTAAATAAATACACATTTTCCATTACAAACAGTAGTGATGTTAGATTAGGCACACCTGGCTCCTGAGTTTTTGTGCCGGCTCCTAGATCTGAAAATATTTGTACTACGGGTTTTCAGTAAGAACAGCATCTCAACTAAACACCTTGTGCTGCATGCCACCGCTCACAAAGTCTTTTACTCAGTATCAAATATTATGTTATATATAAAACACCTTATGTTTTTGAAGCGCTATCTACTGACATAAACAACGAACTTAAGTAGCATTTTAACAGACTTTGTACATTATAAACCAGAATGCTTGCTGAGCTCTGGTACTGGTTTTTGGTTCTTAAAACAAGTAGTTAAAATGCCAACATGCCCTTGTCTTTCTAAACATTCTTTCTTTCAAAATGTAGGTGTCATGGCAACGTATCTGTTTTTAATACGTCCACGCAATTTGTCAATCCCACTCACATGACGCAATAGTACAATAATCTAAAAAACTACCTGATTCATTCCAGCATTAGTGAACAACAAAGTAGGATCGTCGTGAGGAATCACGGGTGAGGAATGAACGTAGAAATGTTCATACTTCTGCACAAAAAAATCCATAAACATCTGGCGAATTTCTTTTGATGTCAAAGTAGCCTCCATTTTGCTCGCTTTGTGAATCTACAGTAAAGAAAATAGAATAAACGTATCTCACATACCATCCTGCCGTTATTTCAACTAAAAATAAATAAAAATATATTTTCTACAGTATTTATTTCAATTTGCAGAAATGGGATATTTAAAGAAGAATCCTTCAGCAAGACAAACCTAAAAGTCTGAATAACTAATCAGTCATTCAGTTTTTAGCTGTGAAAACCAATATTACTCCATACTATTTATATTATTAAGTTTCTAGAAAAATACATTTTCCTCATGCTTGTATTGAATAAATGAATAAGTGAAATATTTAAGATTGTATATTTAGTTACTTTAGATTACTATGAAGATACACATGATACATTTTGATGAAATTACCTTCTATGATTTTTTTTTTATTGTTGTTCTGTTCAATATTATTTTATTTGTAATTAAACAACGGTTTCAGTAATTCAAAATACTTGGAGCTAAAACAATACACATAGGTATGTCTATAAAATGTATATACAGTCTTACATGAAGATGCTGAAGCACAAACTACACAACTAGTTCATAATTATAAGTGTCTCTCAATATCAAGAAAACTCGCAGAAACCTTCTCGGTTAAATCTGGAAGATCCAGTTAACCAGATTGTCATTTTGGATAATTTCTTTTTTTTTCTTACGTTTTCCTAAATTGGATTTGAGCCTCAAACTTCTTGCACACTGTGTGAGTGCTCTTCCAATTGAGCCAAAGGGTTAACAAGTTAACACTTTAACAATCAATCAGCCTGTAACAGTAGCATGCATTCCCTTTCCTTTCCCGAAAAATAGTAAAAAATTAGGGAATTCTGACAACAAAATAGGAAGACCTCAAAACATAAGATGTTGAAAGGTCTGTGGTTATATGATCAAGTCTGACATTTAATCACTGCAGTATCACAAAGAATATAAAAATGACAAAAACCACATGAGAAGGTGGAAGGTTATAACACACTTATGTTAATGCATCTTTATGTTAAATAGTCATATAATCAAAAAAACTTCTTTTTATCAGGTAAAGAGCATTATTTATACAGTTTAATGTTTCATCACATTAACCTGGCATCAATAACTGATGTCGTGTGTAAATAATAATACATCAATAATTGATGTCGTGTGTAAATAATAATACATCAATAACTGATGTCGTGTGTAAATAATAATACATCAATAACTGATGTCGTGTGTAAATACACCAATAATTGATGTCGTGTGTAAATACACCAATAATTGATGTCGTGTGTAAATACACCAATAACTGATGTCGTGTGTAAATAATACACCAATAACTGATGTCGTGTGTAAATAATACACCAATAACTGATGTCGTGTGTAAATAATACACCAATAACTGATGTCGTGTGTAAATAATACACCAATAACTGATGTCGTGTGTAAATAATACACCAATAACTGATGTCGTGTGTAAATAATACACCAATAACTGATGTCGTGTGTA